TGTCTGTAGGGTAAAGAAAATATCAGGCTTTTCTGCCCTCCCGCCATCAGGATAGATGATGGATCCTTGTCCTGAATGCATGCCTGATGGCGGGCACCTGGAATAGGGTGTGGGCATAGGTAGATGGGATTCAGCTGAGCTAAGACTGTGCTTTTAAGGGCGGCGTCACGGGGACGCCAGCAGCAGCACCAGTAGCAGCAGTAGAAGCGGAAGCAGAAGCCGAAAGAGAAGCCGAGAAGCAGCAGAACGAACGCCAGAGAGTCCAGATAGAGTGAAGACTTGCTGGGGGCTGGGAGGCTGGCAGGCCTCCCTGCCTGCCATATGCCTGGTGAACCCCAAATAAAAAACCTGCAAAACCACTGAGGACTCTGACTCCTCCTTTACCCGGTCTGCATGGGATCAGAAAACCTGCACTGTGTCCTGTCCAGCCCTTACAGTGTCAAAACAACAGTTGAAAATATATTCCTAGTAAAATCCATAGAGTCAAAATGAGAAGATAAAAGAACATAGTAGAAATGCCAGAAAAAAGACCCAGTGTAGTGGCAGGAAGACACAGTGCAGGATCTCTGTGATCCGAGCAGACTGGGTAAGGAGGGGTCCTGGAGCCCTCAGTGGCTTTTGCCGGCTTTTATTGGGTTTACCAGGTACATGACAGGCAGGGGTGCTGGAGGGCTGGGAGGGCTGGGAGGCCTGCCTGCTTGCCTGCCTGCCAGCCTCCCAGCCCCCAGCAAGTCTTCATTCTTTCTGGGCTCGCTGGCATTCTCTCGTGGCCTCTGCTTCTCTGCTGGTGGTGCTCTTGCTCTTTCTTTCCCTCGCTTTCTCTTTCACTCTTCTGTTCCCTCTGCTGGCGTCCCCGTGACGCCGCCCTTATAAGCCCAGTCTCAGCCCAGGTGTACCCACTTACATAGGCCCACACCCCACCCCAGGTGTCCGCCATCAAGCATGCATTCATGATTGCAGATCCATCATCAGTCCTAATGGCAGGAGGGCAGAAAAGCCTGATACTTTTTTACATTACCCTACACCCAGAAAGGAGCCCAGATTCAATAACTGTGTTGTAGACACATGATAGGAGGGGAACTTAGGGCAACAATCCTGACAATGCTGATGGAACTTTAAAAAAAGTGGAGGGGGCCTCCCCTGGTGGCACAGGTGGTTGAGCGCCGCACTGTGAAGCTGTCCGCAGCCTCTGCAGCACGGGTTCAATCCCAACTGGCCGGGGAGGGTCCCACATGACGCGGCAGACCTCTCCTGCCTCGCCCGCTGCTCCCTTCAGCAGTGTATTTCGTCAGTCTGCCTGTTCTGTTTCCCACTCTGTCTCCTGTGAATCCTCTCACCCTCCCATGCATCTGACCTGTACCCCGGTTCTTTTATAAATAAATAAATCTTTAAAAAAAAAGTGGAGGGAGGATATAAAACAAAATAATGATAATGAAAATATGAGGCAGCCATATTCAAAATAATGAAGTTAAGAAAACACTATAGCTGATTTAAAAATATAATTAGGACCTTGTAAAGACAGGAACACAGAGTGCAGGTTTTCTATAATCCAGCAGACCGGATAAAGGAGGAGTCAGAGTCCTCAGTGGTTTTTTGCAGGTTTTTTATTTAGATTACCAGGTACACGGCAGGCAGTGGCGCTGGGGGTCTGGGGCTGGCAGGTCTTCACTCTGAGCTCTCCGGCCTTCTCTCAGCTTCTGCTTCTCTTGCTTCTCTCTCGGCTTCTGCTAGCATCCCCTTGACGCCGCCCTTAAAAGCCCAGTCGAATCCCATCTACCTATGCCCACACCCTACTCGAGGTGCCCGCCATGAGGCATGCATTCAGGACTGCAGGGTTCCGTCATCTATCCTAATGGCGGGAGGGCAGAAAAGCCTGATATCTTTTACCTTACCCTACAGGCCTTATACAATAGCAGGATGGCATAGAGCAGGTTCTCTATGAACCTATGCAGATGGGTAAAGGAGAGTCCTGGAGTCCTCGGTGGCTTTTTTCAGGCTTTTGTTGGGATTTTTACCAGATACACAGCAGGCCCTCCTCGTTCCGGAGGGCGAGGAGGCTGGTAGGCCTCCTAGCCCCTGGTGAATCTTCACTCTTACTGGGTTATCCGGCATTATCTCGTGATCTCGTTTTCTTTCTTCTGCTTCCCTTTTATTCTGCGCTCTCACTTGTTCCCCTTCTGGTAATACCCATGACACCGCCCCCACAAGCCCCAGTCTCAGTCCTGGTGTACCCACCTATGCACGTCCACACCCCACTCCAGGTGCCCGCCATCAGGCATGCATTCAGGACTGCAGGAATCCGTCATTAATCCTAATGGCGGGAGGGCGGAAAAGCCTGATAATCACTTACCCTACAGGCCTCAATAGCAGATAAACAGAAGCAATGAAGAGAATTAATGAGCTCAAAAATGCAGTGCTGGAGAACAAAAGACTAGAACACAGTAGAGGAAAAAAGAATTTTAAAAAAATGAAAAAGGGTAACAGCTCCCTGGGACAACTTAAAGAGAAGTAATATCCTATATCGGGGGACCACAGTTGGAGAAGAAAACGAAAAAAGCATAGGAAACCTATTTAAAGAAATAATCACCGAAACCATCTCAAGCTAAGAAATAAGCCAGAAGTTGTGATTCAAAGGGCCCAAAGAGTTCCAAATAAAATAATATCAGACAGACATACACCAAGACACAATAATAATAAAGCTGTTGAAACTAATGAGAAGAACAGAATATTGTAAAAATCTCAAGAGAAAAAGGTGTCAGTGCAAAGCAAGCACAGGGACAGGCAGGTTCATTGTTGATTTGGGCAAACAGAGAATTTCAGAGCCTTCGGTATCTCTAACATGCCTTTTTCATTTTTTTTAAGATTATTTATGCATACAAGAACTAGGGTACAGGACAGAGGTGCAGGGGGTGAGAAGATTCACCAGACTGAGTGGGGAACAGAACAGGCAGATTGACCGAAATACACTGCTGAGGGGAGCAGCGGGCAAGACAAGAGGTCTGCAGCACCGTGTGGGTAGCTCCCTGGCAGGGGTTTGAACTCGTGCTGCAGTGGCTGTGGATAGTTTCATAGTGCTGCAACTTAACCCCTTGCGCCACCACGAAGGCCTCTCTAACATGCCTTTAATGCTGAATCAGGGGACTAGACTCAGAAGCATACCAGCAAGCAGGGCAGCAAGGAGCAGCCAAGCCTCCCAGCCACCACGATCTCTATGTGCTCTCTGGCTTCTCTTCTTTCTCTCACTTTCAATTTCTCATAATCTCAGGCAGAAAAGAGCCTGAGTTACTCCATTTTCCCTACAAAAGGGGTCACCTGTAAGGAAATCAGACTTTTCAGCAAAAATATTACAAACATGAAGGGAATGGAAGGAGAGCTTTGAAACACTTAAAGAAAAAAAGATTTCCATCCCAGAGTCCTTTACCCATCAAGATTAACAATCAAAATAGAAGGAAGAGTAAGGAGCTTTATTGAAAAGCAAAACTAAAATAATTTGTCAACACCAAGCTGCATGTGAGGAAATAAAAAAGCAGTTATTATAAAGCAACAGAGCAATGAATATCGAGGCAACAGACACCTGGAGAGAATGTAGAGGAAAGGAACCCTATTACACTTTTGGTAGGAATTGCTTTATGGAAAGCAATCTGGATTTACCTAAAAAATTAAAAATGGAAATACCATGTGACCCTGCAATCCCACTCTTGGGGTATATCTATAGAATATGAAACACTCAACGGCAACAACAAAAAAACCACATGTTTCACAGCAGCATTATTTACAATAGCTAGGATATAGAAGCCACTTTCAGCAGACTTATGAATCAAGCTTTGGTAATATACACACCATGAAGTACTATATTGCTGTAAGAAAGAATGAAATGCAGGGGCCTCCCCTGGTGGTGCAGCGGTTGAGTGCTGGGCTGCGAAGCTTCCCGCAGCCTCTGCAGCACCTGTTTGATCCCCAGCCACCGGCAAAGGTCCCACATGGCGCGCAGATCTCTCCTGCTGCAACCACTGCTCCCCTTAGCAGTGTATTTCGTCAGTCTGCCTGCTCTGCTTCCCGCTCTGGCTCTGGTGAATTCTCTTACCCTCCTGTCCTTCTGACTGTACCCAGTGCTTGTATAAATAAATAAATATTTTTTTAAAAAAAAGAAAGAATGAAATGCAGCCACTTTCAACAAAATGGAGGGAATTTGAGAGAATTACGTGCAACAAAATAAGTCAGAAGGATAAAAACAAATTAGAAATTCATATAGCAGAAAATTAGATGATGTAAAATACTTTCTTAGATGATGTAAAATACCAGTAAAATACATTAGATGATGTAAAATACCAGTAAAATACTACTGGTCATCAATAAATATCCTGAGGGTTCTGAGGTTAATGGGGGTTGAGGGAGGCAAGGAGACACAAAGGATGATGATTGGATAAAATAAATTAATAAAAATTTAAATCATAATAATAAAGAAAATGACTGAAAACCTGAAAGAATCTTAAATCTCAGTTATTCAACAGGAAAGCATTAAAGGTAATATCACTTTAGAATGGACAATTTTGTTGGCTAGCCTTTTAAATTGGATAAAACTGTATAAGTTTATAAGAACCTTTTAAGATTTAGAAAAGTAGCTTTCTGAAATGTGAACTTGCAAGTTTTTAATTGGTGAAAGCAGAAAGAGACAGCATGGCAAGAAAGAAGTTCTGTTTGACAAAATTTATTTACACTACAGACAACTAAAGTAAATCAAAGATGGCTTATAAGTGTTCATATGTCAGAAACAGGGTATGAAAAACTGAAATTAGATCTTACAAAGAACTACAACATCTTTGGTATTTATACTTAAAATTCTCTGGCTCATAACTTTGCTTTAAAGATATTAGCTAAAATTGCCCAATATACATATAAGCATTTAGTTGTTTATTTTTTCTTTAAAATGGTTTTCTTTCTTAGTGGAAATTGAGTTTTACCAAGAAGTATAGCCACTAAACAATGTTTCTTTGCTGTAGGTAAAACTTCAGTCAAGAAGTTGACAAAAAAGGTAAGCAATGTATGAGGATTTCTCTCTTAAGGTAGAAAATGAACTTTTATAAGTTAAATTGAAAATTTTTAATATGTGTATTCAAAGGATATCGATGGTGTACTGGCAGGAATCTCAAAAGCTGGTGGTGGAACAACCTTTTTTAGAGACCTTGGAGAAAAAGGTGAGTTTGACTTGTTAGCTTTCTTCTTACGTGTTTTATTCAACTGAAGTGTAAGAAATTATGAAATTTGCAAGTTTATGTTAGAAAATACAGAGAATCTATATAGAAAATATAGAACATATTACTTAATAGGTGTTTCTCAATCACAGTATTCATAGTGTAGGCAACAACTCTCTAAAAGTCTTTAAGTAATTACAGATAAATTAGTAAAATGTTCATTTTAATTAAAACCTGCAGAGGGGGGATGATGAAAAGTATCTACAGTAAGAAGAGAAGACCTCAAAGAGCATCCAGGAGACTGCATTTAATGGATTAGAAAAGGAAGATGTACTATGAAAGCGACTAAGGCTGAGTGATTTAAGAAGTAAAGGAAAATGTTATCACAGAAGCCAAAGGAGAAAGTGCTAAGGGAATTACCAATGTGTAAATAAACAAGTAAGTTAAGTGGATTGAGTAAACTAAGGACAGAGAAATGTTCATTAGATTTAGCAGGGAAAAAGTGTTTTAACATTTCAGCAAGTGCAGTGTCAGTGATGGAATGGCATCTGAAGCTGAGTTATAGAAGGCTGAGAAGTGAGAAAAGTGCAGACCACTTGTGAGACAGGAGTGTGAGCAAAATGAATGAGAGGGCAGTTCTGGAAGTGAAAACAAAAGACCAAAGGAAGGTAGGTTTATTTTTGATGAAGAGACTTGAATATGTTTCTTGTTACTGAGAGGGAGAGGTGGGAAATTACAATTCAGTTGGATTTTTCTTTCTGAAGTAAGAAAAGTTGGGGAGAGTTCTTTAATAATTTTGACTTTGTGGGGCCTCCCCGGTGGCGCAGTAGGTTGAGCGCTGCACTGTAAAGCTGTCTATAGCCTCTGCAGCTGGGTTCGATTCCCAGCTGGCTGGAAAGAGATCCACATGGCGTGGCAGACCTCTCCTGCCTCGCCCGCTGCTCCCCTCAGCAGTCTTTGGTCCATCTGCCTGTTCTGCTCCTGCTTAGTTGGTATTATTTTATAGTCATAATTAAATTCACTCAGTGGTAATGCTGCCATGAATTTTAGAAGGAATATATCAACTTTTTATCAACATTTATACAAAAACTTGATATTTTATCATTTTTATTTTTTACTAAAATGCTTCCTTTTGATATGAACTGTTTCTAAGATATACGGATGAAAGTTCTGCCTCATAATGACTGTTTTATTAACTTAATGTTTAACAGCTTGCAACTAGGGTTTATTTTTCCTTTGCCTTAACTAGATATTATTTAAGATGAATTCATTGAATGTGTCATCATTATTATGTATGTTTATATATAGTTATTTCAAAATATATTAGCTGTAAAATTATAGTTCATTCAAGTAAATAAATATGATCATGGCAGCATTGATCACAATATTCAATTTTTAAAATTTCCCTGCCCTACTAGAGACTATAGGAATGTATCTCTAATACCATGTATGCTATGCTCTGAATTATGAAATTAATTATTAAAATTAGTAGAAATCATAAGGAAGCATATGCTGTGCAAGTAACAATTTAATAATTTTTTGAAGGCACTGTTTTCTTTATATAACAGAACAGTAATTCAATTCTAAATCTGGATCTGCTGGGCCTCCCTGGTGACGCCAGGGGTTAAGCATGGCACTGTGAAGCTATCTGCAGCCTCTGCACCATGAGCTCGATCCCCCAGCCCGCCAGAGAGCTACCCACATGGCGCAGCAGACCTCTCCTGTCTCACCCGCTGCTCTCCTCAGCAGTATATTTCAGTAGATCTGCCTTTTCTGTTCCCCACTCTGTCTCTGGTGAATCCTCTCACTGCTACCCCCCACCCCCCTGCACCTCTGGCCTGTACCCTAGTTCTTATATGCAAAATAAATAAATCGTTTAAAAAAATAAGTCTAGATCTGCTTCTGCAGTTGCATCTTTCCTCTCTATCTTTATTAGTACTATTAGAATTAGAAGTACTGTTCCTTACAACAGAAATAATATTGCCTTTCCATATTTGTTCCAGTCCTCCTCTGTAACCTTCTCGACGTCTCCATTTTGATGTTATTCCCTCTCTCTAGCACATTATCAGTTTTTCTTCTCCACTGTTTCATTCCTATATTATGTAAACCTATAGTTCTCATTTTTAAGTAAAAGGAATTTATCCTTTGACCTACATCTCCCACCAGATGCCGCCATACTTTCTAATCTCTTTTCATAACCAAAATCTTGTTTTGTATTCATTTCATCATTTCCCACATATTCTTCAGCCCACTTCAGTCTGGCACCTATCATCAGTGGACACTGCACTTGTCAAGGGATCACTAGTGACTTCCTTGTTAGCAGATCCAGTGGAGATGTTTTATATGCTCAGTTTACTTGACCCCAGCAGTATTTGGTACTATAATATTATCTATTCTCACCTCAAAAATGTCCCTTATTTTCACTTTGTGACCCCATACCTTCTTCTATTTTTTTTTTCCTAACGTCCTAATTGCTTTTCTCTACTTCCTTTGATGAATTTCAACTAGAAACTCCAAAACTGGGGAGATCAAACAATACCTCATTCTATTGAGCAAGTCTGAAGGCAGGAACTAGCCAGAACTAAAAAGAACAGTGAGAAATTCTATATGCACAGAAATTAAGGTTTAAAGGAAAGATTTAACAAACTTTGAGGAGAAGGAGGCTCCCTAGCAAATGAAGGGCTGTATTTTTGAGGCCTGACGTATTATGTGAGAGTTGAAATTTCAAAAAGCAGCGAGCAAACATTCATTTTCTTGGTATAAAAAAGATAAATGAGTAGTAGTAGAGCTTATGTAAAATAGACTAAGGGAAGCCTTGAAAACAACAGTGAGACAGAAAGTTATTCAGGTTTCCAAACTGCTTAGTCTTAATTCTCCAGAGAGGAAAGAAAAAAAGAACCTATAGCTTTTCTTTATTCATTTCTTTTTTTTAAAGATTTATTTATTTGTGCATACACGAACTGGAGATACAGGCCAGAGGTGCGGAGGGGTGAGAGGATTCACCAGAGACAGAGTGCTGAGGGGAGCAGTGGGAGGGACAGAAAAGGTCTGCTGTGCCGTATGGGTCACCTCCCTGGCCAGCGATCGAACTCATGCTACAGAGGATATGGATAGCTTCACAGTGCTGTGCTTAACCCCTTGTGCCACCAGGGAGGCCCTTCTTTATTAATTTCTTGAAATTGAGACCATCATTCTTTTCTTTCAGCCTCTGCTTCCAGCACCAAAATTTTGAAGCAGTTGTCCATATTGGGAGAGGAGCTAGGAAAGCTGTTCTCACTAGAGATAGTCAGAGGATTCTGGTAGAGTGTGGTCACATCTCCAAATTGTGGTTCTGGTCTCCAGAAGAAAGATTGTGAATCTCTCTATTTTTACCAGCTTCGCTGCTTCTCTACCATAAGAGAGATAAATATTTGTTTTCCGTGGATATTGAAAAAGATTATCAGTAACTTTTTCCCATTAATTTTTAAGTTACAGATATAGAAGTATATATACACCTAATTATCCCAGCAAGTAAATAGATTCATCAACCTACTCACACATTTTCCTCATTGCATAGTTCTTCCTCCCTGGTCTTTCCAAAGCTGGAAGATTATTTATATTTTCAGAATGAGCCAGGGGCAGCATATGTTTCTAATATTTCTTGAAGAATCAGAAGCTACCATTTCTTGATTATTGTAAAGAAAAATCTATAGTTAAGGACTATTAGAAAAATATACATAAAATGAAAGTCCACAGCAAGAAGTTTGATTTTTGTTCCTTTAGGTAGGCTCCCTGAGGATATTACTATGAGAAGTAGAGGAAAGAAAATGACTAGAGAGGGAAATAAGGGTTCTTTAAGAGGAATGAGAAGGAATACATGAATGCAGGAATAAATCGTATTTGTTTCAAAGAATAAAAATTTTGCATTGAACAGCTACTGGAAGAAAATTCAATCTAACTTGCTATCATTTACACAGGAGCTTTCATTAATAAAGGACTGATAGGAAAACCAGGACTTAATGATGTGACTTAATGATGACAAGAACTAAACAACTGACAGGGAAATGAGGCAGAACAGCAGCACTGAAGATTTAGAAGTATCATGAAAGGGCAAAGAAAGAACTCTGTTATCTCACCATTTGTTAAATGCTGACTTCCCTTAACTTAGGCTTTCCTATTCTTGCTTTTATTCCACTCTAAGGTTCCCAACCCTGATCCTTTACAGTCTCCATCCCTCTGCCAATATAGTTTCTTCACCACATTCTACATGGAAGAAGAATTGCTAAGGTTGGGAATACTTCATGGGCTGAATAGTTGGAACTTCATAATAACTGGGTTACTTGGAATTTTATACTTCTTTAAGATCTGTTTCTAGGGTTATAGTGGGAATAGCTAACTTCTGGTACAATTCCTTGAGATCAGCGTCAACAAAAGATCTTCTATTATTAAGCAAATCTGTGTGCCACAAATTTTCTTGATTTCTGTGAAACCACATTGTCCTAATTGTCTTTGTACCTCTCTTTCCTCTTGCTGCCCATTCAGTATTTCTGCTTACTAGGATTCTGTCCTTCACTTACTACTCTTCTCCTTTTAACTTCTTTGGTTTTAGCATCTACCATACTGATGGCTCTCAAATACCTTTTCATTTTTTCCAGCCTAGCTTTTCTCCTAACTAGTAATACTTTCCACCCTGCTCATCAAACCCAGGAAATATCTTTTTTTTTTTTTTTTTGTGGGACCCTCGCCGGCGGCCGGGGAACGAACCGGCGCTGCAGAGGCTGCAGGCAGCCTCGCAGCCCAGCGTTCAACTGCTGCGCCACCAGGGGAGACCCAGCCCAGGAAATATCTTTGAATCCTTTCTCTGTTTGCCTCTCATCCTTCATATGGAAACAGTCTAATTTTGCCTCCTAAATATTTATCTTACAGGAAACAAGAAGAAATCTTGAGGAAGGACTTAACTGCATTTTTTTTTTTCAGTTTTTCTCTAAAATACATGAATTGAGGGCCTCCCCGGTGGTGCAGCG